TTGGGGGTTAAGCAAGAGTCGCTCGTGCCATTCGTACGCATAGACGAACCACAACACTTATCAGGTCGGAGGGATACTTCGTTCGATGAGAAAGCTGGAATTCCACGATGCAGGTGCCGGGGAAAAGCCAAATGTGGGTAGTTTGCCAGTAGTACTTGATGCCAGACACGCTCGAGATGTTCAGCGAACCCATTCGGGTTTCCCGTGGTAGCATAGTGCAACTGATGAATAATGAGAGACTAGGACCAGCAGACACAGACTACGGTAGAACTGTCTACTGCCATCAAGCGATGACTTTCAAAGGCCTATCAATCTGGCTATAACCTCGTTTATTGGCTTTTCACTACCTCCCCCGTAAAACACTGAGTGAGTAGGTCTTTGCTTCTGGTGCTTCACGGAACGCACTTGGCGAAGCACGAAGCTCCGTTCGCTCTAGGAGGATCTGGGCCCATTTGAGCGACCCCAATGATGTAAACGATTACCTTTCCTTATTTCAAGTTATTGCCATCAGGTTTTGGTAGAAGATTGATTTTTAGCTGCTTTTCAGATTACCTTCATTGAACTGTCAATTCTAGCATTCTTATAGTCAATCTCGTTCAAGTTAGAATCTGCATGGTCATCGAAATTCAATGAATCCATTCATTAATTCAAAACTGCTCCTTTCCCATGATTATGCACAAAAAGGATACCGAGGATCAAGGTCGAATTCTCACAAGAGTGGAAGGTTATCGTGTGCAAAGCATGGCAGCAATTCTCCCACCACCCCGAATTTCAGTTCCGGATAGTCAGCCAAACTCCATTCAGAATCCATCTGACATGGTCGCTCCAGGGGCTCCGGATTCCTTGAATGACTGTGCTTTAAACGGGACGGCTGGCTTAAACGGCACTTTTCCCGCAGATCCCAATCGGCACGTGGATCAGCTGCTCATAGCTGATAGCTTACATCGGATCAGACTATTCCGTTTTGGCTTCCTCGGTCCGGCTTCCGGATTGACAGGCTCCAACCAATCGAGTGGACCAGCTGAATCTGGTGAAGCCACAGGCGGTACGGGAGCTGCTTCAGAATTAGGCTCTCATCCTCATCCGAGTTCTACGATCAATCCCGCTTCCTCTCTCGGCCCGTCCGTAACATCTGTTCCAGGTGAAATTTCTCGTTGTTTGCTTTCAAGTATTTTGCACTTCGTCTCTGTGCAACTTTATCCCTTTCCAAGTGGGCCCTTTCCTTTATATTCCATCATCAGAAGTGGTAATTTTTTATCGGAAATGACCACCTATGATTGCGTCGCTCGCCTACGTCATTACTTTCGCTTCTTAACAGGCTTGCTTAAGGTAATTAGGTCATCCAGCAGCTACCTTTTTTGTATCTTATCGTCAATCACCGGTAGCCGAATAATACACTTTCCCTAATCAGAGGAATTATTTGGTAGGCCTCTCAACGTTCATATCGTTCACTCAATGCCCACTTTATCTGTGTATACGATTCAGTATGCGAGGTCCTGACTGCCCCCATTTCTGACCAAAAGAATCACCTAATCAGTGTCATGTGATATAAGATTTCAATACACCACGTAAAATCCTGCTCGATCGATCGGCATCCGGGATTGCACATTCGTGTCCACATCGTCTATATGTATGGTACAGGTAAGGCGAGGAGACTTGCGAAATTTTCTTTCTAGTCTTAGGAACACTTAAGCTGTCTGTCAGAGACCCAATTTCACACTTGTGGTATTCAGTGCAGCAGTTGGAAAACAGTGACCTAGGCAGCGTTTTGTGCACTTAAGGTCGGTCAATCTGTCCATCTTTCAGTAGTCTGTTAGGTTGGCCAGTCAGTACAATGGCTACTGCGTTTATGTTTATGGGCTTGACGATCACTCAGTTGCCCGCTGAGTTTCACCAAAAGCACTTGTTCTTACGCCCGAGTAAGCATGGCAAACGTGATGCAGTTCGGTGTTTTCCATAATGGGTTTATGAAACTTTGATGAGAAACAAACTAGCTTTTTTACTTATAATTTATTTTTCTTTCTTTATTCTGGGATGGTGGTTCGGCGGTTGTAATCGCTGCCACTGGCTTGCTTGCAGCCCCGATGTGTAAGGTTCGAATCTTGCCACGGCCACCCAGCTTTCATGCTAATCAGCTTCACCGTCATCCGACACAATCCCACGCCTATCCTGTTGGGACTTTAGGTTTTCCCCCTCCAGTTCCTGCGGCATAAGTTACCAACGGAAATGAATGAACAATAGTTGCTTGTGAGTATCACACAGGGTATGCATTAAAAGCCGTTAGTTTTACCTTTATGTCCCTTAGATCATTCAAGTGAGGGACGAGTGCGTGACGACAGAAAACAAACCACAGCGAATTTTGAATAATAAATTTTGATCGCTCAGTTCATTAGCTTAACTGCATTCCGTATCTTTGCACTGTTTCGTGCACCCCGCTTCTTTCCCCTACTACTTCCTTCAAACAGGTAGCTAAGACAGTGATTTAAAGCGCCACACTGTTCATCCAAATGGGCAACCAAAACCGGAGCACGTAAGTGCATTGGTAATGGTTGTGCAAACTGAAACTGAACGGGAACCACCGCATAAAGGTTCCAAGTTGTTAGCTATATAAACTGGAAACCAAAAAGCAAAGACCAGCACATACCGATCTCTGTTGACACTTGTGTTTGTGGAGAAGAGCTGGTCAAGACTTATTTCAATCTCTTCGAGGTACCCTAACTGTCACATCTTACGTTTCGTAAACCATTTTAAACACTGTTCTTCCGTCAACTTGATGCTCTGTTGCTAATATTTTTCGCAAATCATGGAACATCTTTCCTTTTCATGATTTTTTTGACGCAGTCTGGATCCAGACGTGTGTAAAAATTAAAAAAATATATATTTCGCTGTATTGTCTGATATGTTCGACCGTTGTCACCAAGTCACGGGGTTGTACTCGGTCACGTTATCCGATGTAAATCCTAATTCGGTGGCACGATTGCCTTTATCATGCTTTTGTATTTAGGTCTGCACCTATAAGAAAGGTTTGGACTTACAGGGGTTAGCACACTTTTATCGACAGTATAGGTGTTTGGGTTGTCTTGTAAACAACATTCAAACAGATAGCGTAAAAACCTGAGCAATCGTTGGTCTTATTTGTCTTATGGCCAATTGTTCGAAATCATCGCCTTAGGAATGGAAGACATCATGGAACCCGTTCTCGATGTTGTTGTACTCTGTCAGCTATCTTTCGATGCGCACTGAGTATTCGTTTGTTGCCGAGATCTCCCTTAGCGTTTGGAACTCGAAATTTCGATTCTCATCGGTGCAGGTCCTTCGTGTTGGATTATACAGAATTGGGGTAAAACCCCTGTCTATACTTTGAGGGTACAGAACTTTCCCATTGCATATATTGGATTGGATAGACAACTAATGCGATACTGCAGTGCGCACAAAAGGGGAACAACAAGGTGCTACTCTCATTTTATCGACGTACTATACATGAGACCGATTTCGTTATCTGCAGCAAATCTCAGTCGAGATTGGGTAAAAAATAGACATTGGCATTTTAACGTTCACAGTTCGGTAAGAGAGCTTCAAGTTTTCATTGTCTGTAATTGGACACCGGTTGTGTACTTGTCATCTGATTTTAACCGAATTTTATAATGACTGTATTTCATACACAAAAGTTTTCCTCCTAATATTCACTCACTGCTCCTTCTGTTATCTCGTTTAATATTCCCTTGAATACTGAAAAATCCTGTCATACCACAGCTGGAATCCTGCTCGATATGCCGATCCTCCCAGTTGGTCTTAGTCGGCTCAGTTCGACCCATTCTCAAAGCTCACAAACTCCTCCCTCACTTCGACCCGTATTGCAGCACTCAGGATCGGGTGCCCTCAGTGCAGCCCCGTATGCTGTTGTCTCGTCAGCTAGTGGCAGCAGCCTCGCCGGAGCTGGCAGTGGTGGAGGTAGTGCAGGGGGTGGAAATAGTGTCACCATATTGTTTGGTGCTCCGCTGGAACGGTCGGCCTCTGCAAACTACAGTGCGTCGGTCACAACATTGGCTGAAATGCGTGCCTTGACGGCAGCTGCGACGGCGGCAGCCTTGGCAGGTTCTCACTCGCGCTCGTTTGCTGGACTAGTACACTCATTATCCAGCATGGTGGCTGCCAGTTCTGCCTCGCCCACGGAGCCCGGTAGTGGAGCCGAATCAACTCGCCCGTTAGCTCCTAGTACTGCGGAAGCGGCTATCGGTCCAGTCGTGTGTACAACATCTACCGGCACTACAGGCACACTTAGTGGGTCTGTTGGGACAGGGCATATAACTTCAGCGACTTCTACAGCCAGTGTAGTTGCCTCATCCGTCACCTCTACGGCTGCTTTCACGCCTTCCGCATTGGGCGCACATACAAATAGTAATGGAACTACAAACAGTTACGGCCTGTTGGACCATCGGACTCTTTTCAAAGAAACGCATGCCGTACAATCCATTGTTATGTCCCGTTCCGGTCAACGTGCTTTAATAACGGTCCACAAAATGGTCAGTTTTGTTCTTTTTTCACATCGATTTTTCGATTTCAGCACCTTTTCGGGAGCGATAGCCCAAAGTCACTTTCTGTTCTGTACGTACATTGGTCATCAGTTAGTCAATTGACAATTTATAATCCTCGTAGGGCTAGTCACCTATCTAATCGTAATGTTTGGATTTTGACATTCATATTGCAGTATTATCACCGTCGTAGCTTGGTTCGAAGTTTCGTTCCTTTCCAAGACGCAATTATACCTTACTGCTTTCCACTAGAGAAATCATCAATATAAAAGACAGTGATAACAAATCTGTAGAAACGAGCAGGTCTACATGCCCCCTCCGGTGTTTTTAGTTTTCCTTGGTATTTTTCAGGGTCCCAACGTAATTGTTTAATTATGACGGGTAAAATATTCTGAGATGACTCATGTGTCATTAATTGGCTTCTAGCAACTGTTTTTTCTGTCGCTTATCATCAGTGTAACCAACAGTTCCACTAATGTTATTTATGTTACTAATTCAAAATGAAAAGATTTTCCCGCAGTGTGAGTTGCTGCGGTCTTCCTTGTCTCTTTGCCTGTAAATTTCGCGCGATTCTCAGATTTCATTCCCCATAAGGATATCCAAGAATCTCGATTTGTGTACCGTGATCACCTAGCGAGATCTGGTTTTGTAATCCCTTGTTACATTGGATGCTGTTTGTTACAGACGTCAATCCATGTCACTTGTTTTCAGCGATCGTCACAGCATGCATTGAATTTACAGTCTACACAGCAATCTCTGCCTCATTCGTTTCTACACTCCGTGTCTTTTGTTGGTACAATTTGTTCGGTTGACCGCTTCGATCGATTAAACTAAATTCGGGGATGGGGTGGGAGGCTTCGGTCACGTGCACACTGTGCGTGTGAAGTACTTTTGCTCCGTACTTATTTTGAATGTCGTATAAGAAAAGGTTTGGTTCTGTTCTCGTTAATTTTGTATTACAAAATCCGGTACTGTCTGCACAGATTATAACGTGTGTGTGGACGAGTTCGCTGGTCATTTTTGCTGTTCTTTTGAGTTGTGGAAACATAGGCGTGATGATTTAAAGAGTTGTTCTGGCTTGTTTAGGTATGTGCCAATTCGCGTCATTCTTTTTCCGGCAATAAGAATCGTGTGCTTGTGTTGGATTGAATTATTCACCACTCCAAGTTCTCAAAATAAACTTGCCTGCTTTCCTCCGTTGGAAGTATGTTTACAATCGTAATATCTACTGCAACTTTGAGTACCGGATTTCTGCAACTGGAGAGTCTTCATATTGCAACTCACAACCCCACTAACATGAAAGCTCAACTTTCTTTTTCAAAGATACGTCCATGTTTATTCGTTGCTTCATTCTATTTTCAAAAGCGTTCTTCACTTTTTCACAGAGATACCAAAATGTGCATCGTGACTCCTATTAAAATGGCATAGAATGCATGTAATGAAGTATGATACGTGCGAAAATGATGATTCGTTTTTCAACTTACATGCCATCGACAAATTCCTATTTGTATCTTCTATGTGCTTGAGTTCTTCAGTTTGTGGCAAAGTGACTGCAGTTCGATTCGCCGATCTGATCACTATGTTACCGCTTATTCATTACGACCAAGGATAATAAACTGTCCCATTCGCGTAATCATTGTTGTATCGCCATTTTAACCTGACCTGCGTGGACTTACCTGTTACTCATTATCTCATTATAGCTCGGGGGGATTTTAATAAGATGAACAAGGTAGGGTTTAAAAAATAATATGAAGTCCGCGAGAAAAATAATCTGTCGCGTTCAGGGTGGCTGACTAAACGTCTGGAAGAGACAGTTTTCATAAGAAGATTACCTGATCTGAATCCAAAGACCGACCTGTTTATTTCCCTTTCACCGAAGAGTTCAACGTTGCAATTACGTGAGACAACTCTGCACAAACTTACCCTAACCCGTTATACTTAAACTTCTCATACAATAAGTGGCACTACTTCATGTATCAGTTTTCATCGCCTGCTAACGTTCATTCGAAATCGAATGGTACCGGTTGCTACCGCTGACGTTATGCTATTTTGGATCGCCACTTTTCTCCGGTTTACATCTGTTAAATTAGTCAGGTAGCATAACAATATATTACCTACTCTTGGCATATTGTCGTTAACTGTAAACCCATGATAAGACTGGAGTTTTGTAACACTAGATGAAATTCACACAAACTTGCACAAAACTCTTCAGCTAGTTAGGGGTATTGCCTAATTTCCACCCACTCCTTCTTCCAAATGCTAAACTTCTTGCTGCAACTAACCACCTGAAGCACCAGCTCCACAAGAGCCTGTAAAAGATAAAATATGAGACAGAAATAACCAGAATGGTCTTTGTTGACCTTTTCCAATTGCCAATACCAGTTGATTTCTTATCTCACCCCTCCCCAAGCGAATTTGTTGGCCGCAATCAGTTTGTTACGAAACCGTTCTAATCAAGTTATACGATGGATTTAGTCCTCTGGATTTGACGTTTTGAGATGGACCACACATGTTGGTTCAATCGTTCAGGGATGCACGATCCTCGTTTGTTGAAACAACAACCAACACTGAAGTGGTATTGATATTGAGAGACTTAACCAACAAATGATTTTATATGAGATGTACAGACACTTTAATCATCGCGGTATTGTATTTTTTATTGTGGTGATTCGGCGAAAGGAATGCTTTGGATTGTTAATACCGAGTGCTGATCTCACTGCGGTAAAAATTCCTAGCGTGACCTTTTCATGACCACCCGCTCGTCCACTAAAGAAGCGTATGAGTAATCCTCTTTACTGTCTCGAATCGCGTTCGTGCGCCCACTGAACCGTCCGCATATGTGATGCTCATCTGCAGTTTTGTAAGACAGTGGTAGCAGAATTATTTAGATCGGAATCTGAAGTGACGTGTGCCCAATCGCTCCAGTGTGATGGCAATCATATGTAGTGTACATGCATACCTGTGGTTGAACCTTGCTCGTTCAGGGAAATGGAGTCGTACGACTATAGACTGACAGGCTATTTTGATGTGCGTCATAACTCTAGACAGCCTCTTGTTGTTTATATCTTTATGACGCTGACTAACAGTTGTGATATGGTTTCAGGATCAGAGTACAGGCCAAGATACACGCTAAGGATCACCCCTTGACTACTTTTGTTCTGTATCTTATTTAGCCGCCCCTTTTTGTTGCTCATGCTTACATTTGCGATGCTCAATTTCTATTCTGTTCGTTCCACCGGAGCGCTTAAGTGTTCTTTTTCTGTTAAAAATGCGCCGTTTGAGACTATAAGTCCGTTGGATAACTCTCCATACTTGTGCACGTTAATTATCACTCGACAACAAGATGGCCCACATGTAGCCACAAACATGACTGACCAGAATTGATCATTCAGGTTTGATCTTTGCGTATGATCTGGTCTTCTCGTAGCTCCGAACGCATCCCAGAAATTCATCCGCATTCTAGGAACGACCGAAGCAGAATTCTACATGTAGAATTTCCAAACAAACAATACGACATAAACCGATCGAACTTTTCTTCAGTTTCACTTTTGTTTAATTGTTTGTACTCCGTGCTACTTTATCCGAGCACATGTAACAGTGCTATTTACTTTCCATTCAACTATTAGGGACTTCATTTGTGGGATGTGGAAGCTTGTGCTATCATCCAGCGATTCATTGGCTACAAACAAGATACCTTCCGACTTCATTCTACTTTCGGTGGAGCAACTGAAGACTTCGTGGCCACCGGTAGTGAAAGTAAGTTCAAAATACTAAGTTATTCATTTTTGTACTGTCTGGTTTTTTCCTGTCTTTATATACATTACACAGCTCCAGTTGATGCTATTTTCTTGTGCATGGTATCAGATCCAAGTTTGGAACGGATGTCGTTAAAGAATTGTACGTTGTGATCATGTATTGGATCCGTATAGGAACCCTCTTGGAAGGCCTTTTTCAAGTCAATTAACAAACTTGTTACCATACGGATCTAATGCTGTTTTCTTATAGTATTCGCTAGTAAATAGATTACCTTAATTGGCCCTTTTCTACCTAACAATTCTCACTTCAATATAAAAAATCTGAGTCTCTGGAATATATTGCTGAAGTGTTATGATTCCTAATTGTTCTCCGGAATAAAAACAATTATTTGATGTGTTCCATTAAGTTCTACTGCCGGTTATTATGACCAGGACGAGATGATTCACCAATATCATATCACTCCGGTGCATGTAGGTATACATACGAATAAGGTTGTCGACCTTGCTGACATGATAGATCTCAATAAAATAAGTTCAGTGAAATTTTCCCATTGTATCCTGTTATTCTAATTCTTAGGCAATTAGGTTTGACGGTTTTGGGTAGCTGAATCAGGGGCATCCATTGTACTCGTAAACCAGTCCGCTAAATGGTTTTGTGCCTTTCACTTGTGTTCGTTTCTCCTGCTTATTCTCTTCCTATGAATACATACATCGCTGTTACACTTGCAGACGGTCGAGTACATATTTGGCATACAAAAAGTGGAAATCACCCGATCCACTCCACAATGGCTTCCTCCTCCTCTTCCTCTGGTGCACTCAGTCCAGACGCGGTAACTTGTGTGCACTGGAATCCTGCCTTACCAACTATGATGGCCTCAGTCAGTGATGCCGGTGATCTGTGCATCTGGGGTCCACAACGTAAGTTTGTTGACCACTTGATTGGAAGAGATCGAGAAAGATCTCTAGCCCAAATTTCAGCTCGATCATTTTGATTCTCCGTTATCTCTTCCAGGTTTCGTATTGGGATCTGGGCAGCCTATGGAACAGTCCGCTTAGGCCAACTTGCTGCGACATACAGTATCGAACGGTCACATTTTTATCATTGACTTCACATTTTCTCATTTGCTACATTACCGTTAACTGTTACTCTTTTCTTTATCCATCAAAATTACCCCCATTCCCACCAATTTTGACTATGCCTGTCACCCGGAGCACTGCTTTTCCGTGAGAAGGCCTAAGTAGGATTTGTCTTTGTGATTCGACACTCGAGCAACCGAATAACAGGTGCTCATCTTCCCTGGGGACCGGTTGGTTTGGACGGAATTCTTTTCCTCACATGGCTATTACCCATTTTAGCCCATTTATTGTTTCACGGGATTGTCTTTCATATCTTCTTCTGACCTGAATGTGACAGGGACTCGGACACTCAGTTCTGGTCATGCCTGCTGTATGCATCTCTGTGCGACCACAGCCACCCACTCATATGTGCACTCCCGATTGACTGCTTTGTTCACAGTTCTCATTGCGCTTTCCTTCTCCGTCCCGAACCCCCACGATCTCTCTCTAGTGATGCCCCCGTTCAATCTAATAAGTCCTTAACTTACTGTCTATTTACGTGCGTTTGTGTCTCAGCTAGCTAGACACAGCGCACTGATAATTCAGGGCTCTTCTTCTTTATCACTTAGTTTATCCACGCCCATCCAAGGTGTCTCACGATAGCCCTGTGGTGATAATCTCATCGCGATCACTTGATTCAACTAACTACACTCCCGGAGTTGATCGTTAATATGCTTATCACCTCCCTTGTTTCATACTAATCACTTTCCCGATTACACCTTGGTAACATTGAACTATAATGGGTCGACCAGCGACTTCTGAACCGCATCCCCCTCACACACATACCTAAACGTTTCTGTGTGGTACTCGTATACACCATTATGTATTGGAGCACGTCTGTTTGATGCATCCACCTTGCTACTCAAGACTACTGTCACTGTCTTCGCCGTCACCACCAACACCACTATTTCTGCCACTTATCTAACCAAATAAAATGACCATTGCAATTCATTGCATATTTTACTTGTTCTCTTGTCTGTAATTCCACAAATGCACCGGTCTGTAAATGGAGTTTTCGATCATCCTGCACCGGATCCTTGCAGCGAATCCACTCCGATAAGTGAAATACGTCTTAGTTACACTCATACTGTAGTTCGCTTGGCTCCGTGGAAATAATAAGCCGCCTCGATGATCATACAAACTCTGGTTTGTTGTTCGAAACGCAATATGTTGGTATGTGGATGCTGATGCCAAAATAGGAATTCGTTTTCGCTTCAGTGGATGTAGATACAATCCTTGCTTCCCTGTTTGTTGAACGAATTTCCCTCATATTTGCTTGATCACACAGTATATCTTGTTCACCCACTAATCGCTGGGTGTTTTCGTAGGTTTTACATCATCTCGCCGTGGCATTCAAGTCTTAATTACCTTCAACTTGGTTTACCTCGCTTGTCCAGCAGTTTGCTGTACTGATATCGTTAATGCATGTCTCTGCCTTTTGGAGTCATGGTGCTGGTTGCGCACATAATGGAGGCTAGATAGGTGGACTTTTAACCCAAAAGGTATGACGTTCGGTTCAATTCAGTGTTGTTATTTTTGTCAAATCCCCTTTTGGGATTCATTTGTGTACACGCTCGAATTGATAGCATTCTGTTTGGTTGCAATAGTTGAATATCTTCAGGAAAACACGTTTCATCTTCATCGATTCTTATTATCGCAGGACAAACCAATACAGATCATCTGGTTTAGTGACCAATGATTTGCTAATGTTGGTCGACAGATCACGATAGAGTGGACTTGTACCATCGACCTTACAATTATGCCAAGTGGTTTATAATGTAAATCTGTTGAGTTCACATGATCCTCACTAGTAAATGTAGTCGTTTACCAATAATATTAAACAGATGAACGATATCAAAGAGATGTGTAATTCGGACACAATAACAAGAGGAACATTCCATGGTCAATTTAAATTCCTAGGGAAACCACTTGTATGAGAGCAAGCTGATTTTCGTAACTTTACAGTTACATGCATGTTTATGTACCATATACGTTGGCATAACGGTCAGTCGGTAGGTTGGGTTTTTATTTGTAAAGTAAAAATCAGTGGCTGTAACGTACAGGGTTTCATATAAATATTAGTCTACAGACTGGAGAATGATTTCATCAAAAACGCATGTTTGTGTACACTGTGTTCTCATTCATAGTATGTCAGATGGAGCATGACTTGACTGGTGTACACGATCCATCTTGGTTACGACGTTCATCCAGTCCCCGGGAAAGTACCGAAAAAACAAAATTTTTTAAAAGCGTGATCATGCTATCACTTGAATATTGTATCTTTTGTTTCTCAAAAAATAAATGGCGAGTTTCGCCCTCCTTTTTTATATCCATATTAAGGACATCAGTTCCGAAATGGGTGTGTTGCTGCGAACCATCCTTAAATCGATTCCATCTGTACCGTAGCTCGAGCACAAAATGTGTGAATGATCGATCTTAAGTGTTGACAAGCTTGTGGAACAACGATTGTTTGTGTTTAAGGTTCGACGACAAGGTGTGATGGAGTCCGCATTCCTAGAGTTGTTATTGACAACAGTGCCTCGAAGCGTATCAGTTAAATATCCGAGATAACATCAGAAGTTCCTTTGTCTTTCGGTCTGCATTTTCCGCCATCCACGTAACTGAAATATGCACTTTTGTTGTAAATGATCTGAACATTTCCTGAGATGCAGATCCAGTTCCATTATTTCCTAATAATTATTCACGTAACACAGTTTGTATATGTCGACTGATATTCAAAGCATACAAAAAGTATTATCTGAACTTCCTAACACACTCGTGTATTATGATTCACGGAAACTGGCACGTATAATCAGCGAGCTGCACTTAGTTGCTCGATTTGCGACTATTTTGTGCAAAACTGTGCATATTTTCTGTTTGGGGTTACTTCTTCCATCAAGATCCTGTGTGCAACTGCCTTATGCAAATTGAGCGGGGTTTTGTGATTTATTGCAAATGTCTGTCAATCAACGACATTACAAAATCTGATGGTCAGTTCAGTTTTGTTCGAACAAGATATGTCCACAGTTCCTTGCACTCATTTTTTGTTGCCGTCTTTCGTGTGCTCTTACGGATCAAAAATAGAACATTCATAGTGGATGACAGACTGAATGTTAGGAAAACAAATTCTGTTGATTGAATCAGCTATACGTAAGTAACGTGCGCGAGTGCTAAGGTTTACGATAGCCAAATATAATGTCTAACAATCGATCAAGTTGGTCGTCGGGTCCAACAGGGGGGGGGGTAACAATGTGTAACCTGCTAGACCAGATCAACTAGTCATGATCATTGCTTTGGTTCAGATCATAGGCCAGCCGCCCCCGGACCTTATTCCAAGCACTGCATGCCTCAGACGTTGTCCACCTGGCATTATGTTCAGCCTTCTCAGTGTATAGAGGTGTATCACTAGCATCAATGATCGACTGTTATTTCTTGTTCAGAGCGTTGTTGAAACGCCATTAATCCTAGTTTATCATCTTCGGATAGCAACCAATCTTCTACACAGTACAACAGGACTTGTCAGACTTTTGGAGAATACACTCAAACCCAAACTGACTACCAATCATCGCGGCGAATGCATGGATAGTTCCATTTGGAAGAGACACACCTCTCCTGGGGAGAGACTTGTTAGTGCCTTCTCAGTTGAAGTTCGATTGGTTAGGCGTATCACTACTTCACTTAGTGGGAAAATGTTTAACGATTAGCCTTCACGAGTTCGCATAGATAGTTCTAATTTAACTATGAGAGATCCGGTAGCGCGTTCTTTCAATTTACACGAGCATTTAATGGCAGTTTCCGTTGGACCGAAATGGTACCCGTCCGGGTAGCAACGACTGCTCGATAGATTTAGAGCTTCCGTTGAAAGTCTGTTTATTCAATCAGTGATGTAAGAAATAGTTGAATCAATCTCGGTGAACACATGTTAGGGTATTATTGTTGAGTCAGCAGTGAAATGGGTTTAAAAGAATCATCAAAGGCTTAAATAAGTGCAGAAGTTTTCGTTTTTCGGATGCGAATTTAAAGCGACCTGTGTGAATGGCGGTTAACGATTGGCTTATTCTACTCATCCCTCTATGAAAGTATAATTGGTCGTATAAACAGTGATCAAAAATATGGTGCAAGCAGTGACTGATGATGCACATGAAGTGCCTTAATCTCGGGTTTTCTGCCAGCTATGGTCACGAAGGGTTTGTGTTCTTGTATGCTGTCTCTCTCCCGTATTGGGGACTGAATGTATACTTAGCGAATTCGGTTTTGTCTCGATAAATGTAGCTGCCTGAAGTGCGATATTCCCGTTGACCACTGACAAACATTTTGCACTCTTATGAGTAAAATTACTAACAAATGATCAGTTTCATGAGCGATACTCTGCGATAGATCACTGGGCGGAATTCGTTCCCCGAGTGTTTTGTGAACGAAGCGTACAACACCAATGTAATCAAGTTGTGAATTTTAAAATTTCGCTCACTGAAATAGGAGTACGCTGCGCGATTAACAGTTGTTTGAGTGAGAGCTACGAAAATATCTGTACATCAGGACTCCGGATTTAAATGTGAAAGATTACCGAGGAACTTCACACATCAAGGAAACTGTCCTGAAACGTTTCTAATGATACAAGTTATTATACCACCGGAAAGAAACGTGGTATACAATGAAAAATTTCTGATATGGTACAAGCGCCACTTGTATGGTATGAATCCGTCCACATCACGGTTGGGAATGGTGATTGAAAGTCAATGTTTGATATGTTACATATTGTGCAGTAAGATATGTGCGATCCCTTCTGCTTCAGGTGTCGTCTAAGCATACTCTTCAAAAGAAACTTGGATCGCTTACTTTCACGTTTAAAATGGCAGTTACTTGTGAGTAGTGGTGTGATGATTCTGATCAGTTCTTGTACAAGCTGTTTGGCACTGTTGTAATAAAGTCTAAGGTAGGCA